TTAGATCAGAGGTTAAATTTTGCACGTTTGTTTCAACGTAAGCAACCTCATTGTGCCTCTAGACATAGTTTTAAATGTGTATTCAATTTTCTAAAAAATACTGTAACAATAACAACGTTTTGTCAATAAGAATAAAATGAGCTGTACTTATTGTTGTTAATTTTTTTTTAAATAAGTGAACAATTTTAATGGTTTTTTGAAAAATCAGACGCGTGATTTGTCCACTATATCGTTTTAAAAGAATGAATTGCTCTAGCAAAGAAACTCTAATAAGACAAACAGCAAAGAAAAATTGCGACAACGACAACATCAATAATTATCTGACAACAACAGCAACAACTTCGATGACGGATGTTGTTGTGAAATGTTTGATTTTGTTGTTTGTATTGCAACAAAAAGGCCTTAATCACTAAAGTGGCTATGTGGTTCGCTGACTAGCTGGCTAGGTATCTAGCAGCTTGGTTTTGTTGCTTAGAGGTTGTTGTAGTCTGTCCATGTAATTTTGTTTTTGTTGTTGCAAATACAAGATTCTTATTCAAACATAATTCCGTTCGTGATCATATAATGATGTTTTTACTAACTTAATTAGACTAGATTATTGCAAGAAAAATAAAAGAGAAAGGTATTTTTCATGTCCACGTCACACCGAGAAGGAAGTTGAAATCGTGTTGACAATTTTTTTTTTAATCCTTACACCGTAGGGTGGAGGGTATATTAGATTTGCCATTCTGTTTGCAATAACTCGAAATTCTTTTTGGAGACCCAAAAATTTAAAAAAATATAAAAATAATAATATAAAAATTGTATTCCCTTAACATATCTGTATTGAGGAATGTTTTGTTTTGGGCCCCATATGAAGATCCCTGAATGTCTTAGCCGAACTTCCCAACTTGACTGTCGGTTATTTGGCGTTTCATTTTCTCAGATGATAAACAACCATCTGATACACCATCTCTACTGATTCTATAGGTTTTGAGAGTGCGCCTCATAGTGGTAGGAACTAAAAGTCCGATGCGGCGAACTTTACAAAATTGTTTTTTTTTTTTTTTTTTTGTAAAAATCCCTCCCTCTTCATAACCTTGAATGCCATGAAAAAATTACATAATCTTTGCCATCAATGATTTTTATTGTTTAATGATTTGCAACAAAGCGTTATATTATTTTACCAAAGCGTTTTGTTATGACAAAATTATGATTTTATTTGTATATAGGCCTAGTCGCAGTCATAACAAAACAACGGCAGTTGTTATAACCACTTCAGTTTCCCAAAAAAAAAAAAAAAAACGAAGAAACAAAGAAAAAACAATGTCTGCCTTCCTGCTGCTGTCAATTGCCATGAATTGGTCCCGCACATAAATAATATTTCTTGTATTTTTTAGCAACAAGAAAAATATTACACTCCCAGAAATCATTCTAGGCCATATCTGACTGAGTTGGCGGGTGGGAAAGAAAAGGAAATATACTTCATAACCGTAAATTATTAAGTAACTGAAGAAAAAAAAAATAAAAAAACATGCCAATGAATGTATCAATGAATGGCTGCCATTGTCCATGAGACAAAAAAAGAAATAATCCCATAACCAAAACTGTATTCGGAAATATGAGTCATCGACTTCAGTAGCTACTTCGTGAAAGAGGTTTATTCACTTTCAGAAAATTTTGGTTAAACTGTCAATATTGTGGGAAGAAATGTGCTCTTAGAATATTCATATTTTGTTTGAATTTCAGAATCTCAAATTAAACCAGGCCGTACAGAATTGTGCCTCAGGATTCTGGGTCAGACCAACACTGATTTGTGAAATAATAGTGGAGTAGTGTGTAGCAAAATGACAAAGTGTAATCGAAACAAATGTCTTAGTTTCTTATTTATATCGAAGAGCCCGCCTTACGATCCTCAAATAGTATAATACTTTTTTGATTCGTTCTGGAATGAATGGTACTCATGTGTCCATCTACAACCCCTCCAATTCAAGTCAGTCCATAGTAATATTATTCTCCAGATTGAGATTAAAACAAAGTAAAATCCCCGTTATTTTCCGCTGGACCATACTTTTTATACGCTACACTATATTCAAAATACCCAAAATGGAAACCTTATATGTGAGCTACCACAAGACATGGACCTACAAAATAGATTGTCCTCTGAAAAAAAAACTCAAAAGGGTTGGGAAATTTTGATAACGCCTTAAACGTACCGAAAATAGGGCGTTAACTTTGTATGAATTATATTGAACATTTTTTTCCATTTTTTACCCACTAAAATCATGGCGTGCCAGATTACAGTCACTTCTGCTGGAAAATACCTAAAATGATCCGGCATCCTTTTTATTAGAGCTATGTTAAAACATGATCCTACGTTGTAAATTGTCTGCCAAAATTTAGCTACTCTCTGAAAAATGAAATATGAAATTATAATCACATAGAGACCAGATCGACTCAGGTGGAAAGTTCCATTTCCATTAAAATGTCTAAAAAGAAGTGGTACTTTTAATGTGGAGGTCAAAACATGACCCTATATTGAAATTGTTCTGTAAAAACCTTTTAAACACACCAAAGATATGTAATTCCAAATTACAGCTACTTCGGTTGGAAAAATAGTCAAAGACCACCGAAGTACTTAAAATGAATCTTGACCTTTAGGGGTTAGGTCAAAATATAGGGCTATATTGATAATTTTCGGGACAAAAATTATATCCCACCACATGGAAACTTGAACAATTAGACAATTGTCAACTCTGACATTATTGGAATTCGAAAAGGCAATAGTTCTTCGGAAACCCCAAAATCGAGGTTCCACAAAACGTGAAACTTTCCTAATAAAAATTGTGTGTGGTAATTTAATATATAAATACTATGGCGCCCAATAATTTTTAAGAAAAAAAATTCTAAGACATGGTCTAACTCAAAAGTAGTAAAATTTTACCAGATTTTGGCGCCCAATAGTTTCAAATAATCAGATTAAAGTTTTTTGGTATTTCAAAATTCCGAACATGGAACTTCCCTAGTAAAACTTGTGTGTGTGTGGCTCCCAATAATTTTTAAGAAAAAAATTTCTAAGACATGTTCTAACTCAAAAGTAGTAAAATTTGACCAGATTTTGGCGCCCAATAGTTTCACATAATCAGATTCAAGTTTTTTGGTATTTCAAAATTCAAAAAATTTTGGATATTCCGCTTGAGTTTAAACAAAATCCTCAGTCGATCTTGTGAATGACATTGGGATGGGAAAGTTGGGCGCCCGATCGTTTAAAAAAAAAAAGCTTTTTTTAAATCTCTAAAGTTGTAAAATTTGTCCAGGTTTTTGCGCCCAATTGTTTTACAAAATCTAGTTGACGAAGGGGATACCAAATAGCGGTTTGGTAATTACAAAATTCGAAAATCCAAAGACTTCAAAACGCAGGAGCTTACAGAAATCCCTCCTCGAAAGTGAAATACCAGTGTAATAGTGCAAATAATAATTACAAAATGTGGCGCCAAATAGATGTAAGGAATCAAACTTTTAAAACTTGATTAAATTGGACTCAAAATTAATAAAATATGTTCAGAATTTGGCGACCAAAAGTTGCACATAATTATGTTCATGTTCCATATGTACGATGTGGTTAATAACTAGCGTTTCAGTAGTTACTAATTTAAAAAAAATCCAACTACTTTAAAACGTGAACCTCACAGACATGTCCAGTCGAAAGTGCAAATGCCAGTTATCTTATTAAAGTTAGTCCGAACAATATAAAGAAATTATGGCACCCAATTGTTTTTAAGAAATAAACTTCTAAGACTTGGGCTAACTGATCTCAAAAGTTGTAAAATGTGTGACGCCCAATAGTTTCTCATTATCAGGTTCAAGTCTCAAATGCACGATGTGGTCAAAAAGAAGCGGTTTGGTAGTTACAAATTTCGAAAACCAAATACCCCAGTCGAGCGTGTAAATGCCAGTTATGTTATTAATGTTAGTCCAAATAATATAAATAAATTATGGCGCCCAATAGCCACAAGATTTTGAGACCCAGTCTAAGGTGGTAAAATTTAACAAGAATTTGGCGCCCAATAGTTTATTCTAATAAGGTTTATATTCTTAGTATTTCAAAATTTCGAAAATTGTGATATTCCAAAAAGTGAAGCCTTTAAAAGTCCCCAGCCAAACTTGTGTATGTGCCAGTTATCTAATTTAAATTAGTCCAAATAACATAATCCCAATTTGGCGCCCAATCGTCGTTAAGAAACGGACTTTTAAAACTTGGACTAATTTTACTGAAAGTAGTAAAATTTCAACAGAATGTGGCGGGGAGAAGTATTTGAAATATTTAGACGCGACGCCCCCAAAAATACATAAAGTCAGGATATATTTTTATATGAGCGATATATCAATCAAGGCCGACGCTCACTTGAAAATGAAATTTTTTAAGGTCGTCCAAAATAACGACCAAGAGAAAGTGAATCCTTGTAGTTCAGAATGACTATGCGAACCCTATTATCTATAAAATAACCCGGGAAGTATATTTATTTTATCAAAAAATATATATTTTTATTTTATGTTGCCTTTATTATTCGTATTCCATTTCTATAACCCTATATTTATTTTATTTGAAACTGCAAGCTTGAATGCATAAACCTAAAACACACCATAGATCATTATGGTACATGCACACACATATACATATGATCACATTCATGTATGTCTCTATATCCGCCGGTAATTATAGTCTTTTCTTGATTTGTTTTTTATTTCTACTCTGTTGCAAAATTTTCTACTATTTCAAAATAATGATAACAATAATTTTTGTATTGCAAAAGCAGAAAATAGAATTTGCAAAGTAATTGTTGGAATATTTTAAATAAATTTCAATGTATTTGAAAATATTACTCATTTTATTGGAATGTATAACAAGTATATGGATCACCTTGTCACATGGACAATTGTGTCATAAAATAATCCATATAATAATTTAAATTGTTTTTTATTATCGATTTTTTATTATTATTTTGATTTGGTATACTTACATCTGGCAGTGCTCGACATGTTGTGACCGCTATTGACACTATGGCCAATGCTATAACAATTATCTGTGACATGATTTGTTAGATATATGTTTTGTTTATTAATTGTAGAAATGATGAATTATAATCCTAGTAACACAAATAAAAAAATGATGATGACGAATGGAGGAGGAGAACTGAAAAGAAAACAAAAAAAAAAAACAAAAAAAAACAAAAATAAAATTAATAAAATTTCTATGAATAAAAAAATATAAATTAAAAATTTTTAAAGGAATTGAGTTTTGTGGGAATCTTTGCCCACTAAAATGCTTCTAAAGTACAAAAGAACAGCATATAGATCTATCAGCTGATTCATCTAACAGCTGATTACTCTTGGGCAATCTCGTTCAGTACAGTGATCGAACGAACTAGGTCATTTTTTAAAGCTTAACTAGGTCGTTCATCTCGTTCAGTTGCCTTATATCGTTCAAATGGTCACTCAGTTCAGTTGGTATTTCATTTAAGCTGCCAGTTCCATCAACCACAAGGAATGATGACCTTTCCCAATCATTCGAAGAACTTGTCCATCTATTTTCTGCACTTCCTTCTACAAGCTGTCTTTGGGAGTCAATTAAAGCAAATGTGGATTTTATTTGCATTTGGTCTTTTGAACACCGCAATGGACTAATTTTCCCAGTGTCTTTTTCAGATTTTACATGAAGATGATCTTGTTTGACGCCAAACCCAAAGCACCCATGAACTACACTGAAGGTGTAGAATAAAATTATGTGTCGTTCAGTAAGCAACGTCATTCAGTGACCGACAGCTTTTGGTAAACAAAATCGTCCAGTGAACGACAATAATAAACATTGAACCATGGCACAATGAATAGGTAGTCCATTTAGCTCAGCTGATGTCTTGATTAACTGTCAAAGTGCGTAATTTCTACTTGAAGTCGATGTGCAGTGTTGCCAACCATGTGAAATATTATATGGAAAAATTTGACAGATAATCGAGACAAAAACAAAGGTTTTTGTTTTGATACATCACCTTATTATTGCATCATGCATTGAACTATGTCGTTCACTCGTTCAGTGGACACACTCGATCAATTGAACTAGGTCGTTCACGAACGATACAAGACTACAGCTGATTCATTTAACATATGAATAGGTGGGCATAGATCGATTTTCGACTCATAGCTTTTTTAGATTATATTTCTAAATTTCTTTACCAATCAACATATATTGCTTTAAATATACACATATAGTTTGTTACTCCTTCAATTAACATATTTTAAAAAGACTACATTTTATTTCGAAATATATCAATGAAAGCCGATTCCAGGAAAATTCTCATTTTTTTTCATTTTCAAAATAAAGTACAAATATGACATAAATAAATCCCATTCAAATAATAATTCTTGGCTTATTGCAATTCATTCATTTTCATCATTTAGTAGTCCGCAATCCAAAATTCCAATATGCTTATAAAAAATCCCAGAGCAAATTAAAAAATCCAAGAAATTCCACTACTAAAATGTCCTTTGCCCTTGTCAGGTTTATTAAGGCCAATAAAAATTTGTTGGACTTTTGCATATGGGTCAAATGTCAAATGAACACAGAGATCATGATTAAAACAAGAGACTGGTAAAAATAAATTCGGTAAAATAAAAAAGACAAACAAAAAACCTTCAGTGGCGGTTCCAAAGAAAGGTAACCAAACAAAATTTAAAATAATGACCCTTCACACATAAAAAGATTTAAGAAAAAAGGTTTTTGGAAACATAAAAAATATAATAAATGAAATACACTATAAAAATATGCTGCCATTCATTACCTACAAACAAAATTATTCACTTTGTATCAAAATAAAAACATATGCCATTAAAAATAAAAAAACAACCGAAATCAATTTCGCAAAAAAAAAACACTCCCAAACCTCCAAAAAAGACATGAAAGTACAAAATTGCATTCGCCAAATTGCAAAGCAAAAAAAAACGTAATCGTATCAATTGGCTACCTTCTGTTTTAATTCGATTCAAATCAAAATCACAACCAAGAAAAAAATGCAATTGTAAAGGAGTTCGAAAAAAATCGTTTAAAAAATCATTCATTTTTTGCCTTCATTTATTGGCGCTGACCGGATTTATATAACTTCCGTTAACAAAAATTTTATAATTTGCAATGATGGCGTAATAGAGTTAATAAATGGTTGTTGGTTAAATGGTGTTAACAACAGCAAAAAAATTTATTACACGGAAATTGAATTAAATATTTTAAAAGTGAATTAAATTGCATTAAATTTTTAATTGAATTAAATATGAATGTTCAAGATCAAGAAATTGGGCGAAGTAAAATATTTGTTGTAATCCTTAAACTCACGAAAGAAATTGTTAGAAGTCTTACATTTTCATTAATCGTAATCGTTTGAAATATTAAAAGTAGATTATTATTGAAAATTGCTCGTTCTCAAATATTTGCATTAACAGTTTATTAAAAAACAGCTGATAGAACTTAGTACTTCCTACTATAAGTGTAAGAAATACAGCGAACTGACAAAATTGTTACTAATTTGCACTACTTTAGTAAACCTTCAAATAACAGACAATACCCACCAGCATTTGGTTATAACTCATAAAAATCTGAAGAAAAAAGATGTAACTAGTTAACCGTGTGGATAATAAATATATCAAAATTTTGTTGCAATTAATTTTTATAGAATTCGTATTCAGATGGCTCACAATGGAGTATACTACTTCTTCGCAAAGAAAAGTTTGGTAAATTCACAGCTGATTTATCTATCAGCTGACTTCTTTAACAGCTGATTCATTTACCATATGAAGTAGAGGTATATAGGTTGACTTTCCATTTATTTTTAATTATATTAAAGTCCCCAATCCAAAATGCCAAGTCAGTTTACGTAAACAAATTTTGTAGAATTCGTCTTCAGACGTCGCACAGTAGAAACACAATTTTCGGGTGAATCACACCAATGGGCTTTAAAAGATATTATTTCTTCAAAATTGTTTTCTTAATATCTCGCTCAGAAACTCACGTATTTGAACTATCAAAATTATACTTTTTCTTAAAAAGGAAAATTTGGTAAATTCACAGCTGATTCATTTATCAGCTGACCATCACGCATTTATAAAGTGATGTATCAAAACAAACACCTTTGTTTTGTCTCGACCATCTGTCAAATTTTTCCTTATAATATTTCACATGGCTGGCAACATTGAACATCGAATTCAAGTAGTAATTATGCACTTTGACAGTTAATCAAGACATCAGTTGCTCCAAATGGACTTCATTGTGCCATGCAGGTGACTAATTTAGCTAGGGAGATATAGGTCGACTTTCGACTTAAAGCATGTATTTTTTTTAAATGTGACATTTCTAAAAGCGCATTTAGACTACGAAATCCACTCAATCTAAAAGCGTATACGTAATCACGATTTGGCATTTCATGATGCAATAATAAGGTGATGTATCAAAACAAAAACATATGTTTTTTATTCGACCATCTGTTAAATTTTATTTAGTAATATTTCTCATGGTTGGCAACATTGCACGACAAATTCAAATAGATAGTTGAGACGATAGTCAGCTGCGATAAATGGAGTATCTATTTATTGTGCCATAAGTTAGCTAATACCATGGAACAATAAATAGGTAGTCCATTAGCGCAAATGATGTCTCGATTAACTGTCAAAGTGCGTAATTTCTACTTGAATTCGATGAGCAATGTTGCCAACCATGTGAAATATTATATGGAAACATTTGACAGATGGTCGAGACAAAAAAAGGTTTTTGTTTTGATACATCACCTTATTATGGCATCATGGCTTTTACTATCAGGTATTCAGAGTTTCATTTGTTGATGAATAATTTGAAAATGTAAATATTCCAAATTTAGTATCAATTTTCCGTTATTTTTGCTAAGCGGAATTAATTAAATGACCCATAATTAATTGCAAGTAAGAAGTAGTTCCTTTAGATACAATTTTTGCACCGATTCATTGGAATTCAGTTAAGCAGTAACTCCCACACTATTATAATTAATATCCATATTTTTATGAATCACTCAAGTTGCATGGTATCAACTACACATATGTTGACCAAGTCCCAAAACTTCGATGTCAGCAAATAATTTTTGTAAATAAAAAGAATACACAAAATGTCAAGCCCATTCAATGTCATACAATTCTTTATTTCAATGTCCCTCAAGTTCACTTGGTATAGTCGCATTATATTACCTGCACAGGTGATAGAATAATGCTGATGTTTAGCGTTTTTCTGGTGTAATTGGAGCAAGAATTATAAATATTAACAAAAACCTGTATGTGAATATCAATGTTATGACGTTTTGCAATTTAGAACGGGGCAAATTTAAATAACAAAAATACGGAAGGTGGAAATGACAAAGCGAAAATATGAGAAATACGATAAAAATATATTTTCTTTAGAGTTTCAGTGGAAATTCTCAATAAGAAATTACGTAATTTTTAATAAGCCCTCATATTAGCCGAAACAATAATTTCGAGATTTTATAAATGAAACACTAGAGTAGTAAAATTTAAAAGAAATCACAATCTAACAAGACTTGAAAATATTTAAAATAAATTCCCATCATATATAAATAAATGACCTAGAATTGGACACATTTTTTCCTTTAAAAGGAACTGGGTCATTTATTTAGTTCCATAGTTCTATGTAGTTCTATCGTTCATTTTCAATTAGTGCGGCCAATGAACGGGATGATCTAGATGAACGGTTCGAACAAACGGAACTAGTTGAAACGAAGGAATGGAACGGATTTAGTACTGATCTTTCCGTTTTTTCTTTGATCTAGTTCGTTTCCGAACGATCCAACTATGATGAAATAATAAGGTGATGTGCCAAAAAAAGAAAATTAGTTTTTTACTCGACCATCTTTCAAATTGTATTTAGTAATATTTCTCATGGTTGACAACATAGCACATCGAATTCATGTATAAACTACACACATTGACAGTTAATCGAATAGTCCGATGCGCTTAATGGACTACCTATTTATTGTGCTGTAGATACAACTATGATGAAATAATAAGGTGATGTATCAAAACAGAAACATTTGTTCTTTTACCCGACCATCTGTCAAATTTA